CCCGCTGGGTGTCAGACCCGACCCGCGGCCCCGCCCCCCTTGCGAGGAGCCCCGACCTCCGCTCGGTGCCCCGACCCCGCGCGGCGAGGACTAACGGTGGTGACTCCCCCGCCCCCCCGCTGCAGCTTCTCCCCGAGACCCCTTCCCTTTGACGCCGAAGTGTCTGCGGTGCCTCCGAGACAGTGTCTGCTGCAGCCTCCTGGAGGGGTCAGCCCTGGCGTAGTATCTCTGAGCCTGGATTCTTCTTTGGTAACTAAAAGTTATTAGCTTTATTCATATAGGGAACCCTTTGGCTTGTCACTTAACGCTGTTGTGATTTTGATGGAAAAAGAAAAATGTGTCTTGAAACCTTAAAAAGAAAAAAGAAAGTCGGCCCGAACGATAAGCGAACGGCGAGGAGATGCATGTGCTCACCCAACCCGTCCCCGAAGCCCGGGATCCTCACAGTGCCGCTTCCTGTGCTTGCTTGACAGCCTCCCAAGGAGTTCAAAGTGTGGAAGTCAAACTATGTCCCACCTCCCGAGATCTACGCCACCGAGAAGAAACCGCCACCCCCAGAGCTGGACATGGCAATTAAGTGGTCTAACATATATGAGGACAATGGTGACGATGCCCCGCAGAATGCCAAGAAAGCTAGGCTTCTGCCGGACGGGGAGGAGACGCTGGCGTCAGGTAAGGAAGGTCAGACTCGGCCGCTGCGGTGGGTTTCAACGTGCGATCGTGGGACGCAGGAAGTTTAAATGGGGGGAGCTGGCAGACCAGGCGTGATGGTCTCTGGACACGTTCTGCCCTGCTCCTGAGAAAGAGCGTATATACGGCCAGCCTCAAAGTCTCTGGTATTTCAGCTGGTTGTATTTGCTGTTTTTTTGTGAAGGATCGTCAGCTCTTCAGGTTCAAGTGACCTCTCTGATGTCTCGTTCAGTAGTCTGTTGGATTTATGGTGCTTTGTCGTTAGAGCGGCACAGAATAATTCGTGGATTCTTGTGACTGCAGCTGCAAAGTGCTGAAGGCTTCGTTTTCTATTAAAGCCGTTGTGCTTTGGAGCTAAAATTAGTGTGACAGAATGAATTGAGCGCATCATTGCTGCAGAGTAATAGGAGGATAATGACTTAGTTGTCTTGCCTTAGTTAATATACCATAATTTCACCTCTTAACTTGGTCTGTTATAGTAATCTTTACCTCCACACTGCAGCTAGTGTTTAATTTTTTTTTTGGTTTTTTGGGGTTTTTTTGAGTCAGTGTCTCACTGTTGCCCAGACTGTAGTGCAGTGGCACGCTCAAGGCTACCACAGCCTTAACCTGCTGGGCTCAAGCGATCCTTCCGCCTCAGCCTTCCAAGTAGCTGGAACCACAGACATGCACCACCACGCCCAGCTAATTTTTTGACTTATTGAATAATAGTGATGGGGTCTTGCCAAGTTGCCCTGGCCGGTCTCAAACCCCTGGACTTAGGCAATCCTCTCTCCTCTGCTTCCCAAAGTGCTGGGATTACAGGCATGAGGCACTGCACCCTGCTTAGTATTGAATTTCTAAAAGTCATATCTGATTATATAACTTGCCTCCTTAAAACCCTTCACCAGTAGAATAGAGTCAGGGTCTTTATAATAGGCCCTGCCTTCCTTTCCAGTGTTATTTGAATGACCCTCTTTCTAGCACTTTAAGATCTTAAAATCCAGAACTGAATAGACCATTCCATTTTATAATTCCTTGCCTTTCGATATGTGTTGCACCTTAGTCTGGAGTGTTCTTTCTTTCCTCTTTGGCTAGTAAACTCATTCTTCCTTCAAAATCGAACTCAAAATATCTCAGGTATCCCCTCTAATTATTTGTTCCTTTGTACTCTGTATGTGTTAATGCTGTTGATTGCATTTATCACATTATGTAATTTTTTTAATGTCCTTTTTTTTTTTTAATGAAAATGAATTCCTCACGCCTGGCTAATTTTTCTTGATTTATTGTAGAGATCAGGAAAAAAATAGTAATAATAAAAAATAAATAAACAAAAAAAGAAAGAAAATGAATTCCTCAAACAGTAAGATTCAAGTCTTTATGTTGGTGTCATAGATTGTAAGTGGATAATTCAGTGAATAACTGTTGCATTGAGCTTAATGTTTTAGACTATCTGTTTAAGAATGAGTATGGCGGGGCTTGGTGGCTCACACCTGTAATCCCAGCACTTTGGGAGGTGGCGGCAAGAGGGTTGCCCAAGTCCAGGGGTTCGAGGCCAGCCTGGGCAACTTCACAAGACAACTTAAAAATTTTTTTTTCTTGATTTCTCTGTCTCACCCCAGTGTAACAAATTGCTACAGGATTTTACCAAAATGCTTGCAGCAGTAATTGGAAATGAGTTATTTTGCATTACCAAAAGAATTTGATCAAATTGTCACAGATCACATTTGCAATCTTGGAAGTGATATACTACTGGCCTAAGTGATTAATCTTTTTTAGGTGTTCAGTATTTTATACAACTACTACCACGTCCTTACTCTTTGTAACTCTTCTGTCTTCTTCAACCTGGGAGAGACGTTGAATTTGAATGTGTTCTCTAATCAGTAGTGTTTTAGCTTTCTTACTATTTGTATTTCACTCCTGTTTCCAGGACTTTCTTTTTGCAGTATCGGAACTATTAGGAATGTGAGGGCTTAACACAGCAGAGGTGAAACTCCTACCTGGTCCAGCCTGAGTGGGAAGAGCAAAGGTCACTCACCAGACAAGGTGCTTGGTCTGGTACACGTTCTACTTGGAAGGAATGTTGTTTCAATGACCTCTGCTAGTCTGAACACATGGATTCTTGTCCATCTGGAAAGATTAGCAAGGAAGACTAACAGTGTGAATCTCAGTAGTGTTTGAAAACAAGAGGGAGCAGCAGATTGTAATTTGGTTTGTTGGATGTGATGGACATGCTGTTAACGATGGTTGAATGGGAAAAAAGAGACAGCATAGCATTTGCTTTAAGCTGTTTAAAAAAAACAGAGTATGCCATTTTTGTTAAGCAGATTTCTGATCATCCCACAATACAACGGCTACTTATTTGACCCCTTTATAGCCATACAGAGTTATGTTTTGTTTTAAGAGAAAGAGAAACTGACAGGCATTCTTGCTACAATTTTGATTCTATGTAGCTTTTCTATTTATTTTGCTGGTTTCTCAGTGTGTATTAGAAGTCACTAATTAGGGCCATCTTCCCAGTAAATGGCATCTTTTTGGAGACTTTAAATGAACATTTATAATTCCTCATATTGTACAGTATTTTATGTAATTAATAAAAATGCTCTTTGCATAAATAATCTTTAATCCTTGAGACATCTTGTGAAACCAGGTAGGGAAATGTGGAAATGAGAGCGTCTGTAACTTGTCCAAGGGCACAAAACAAGAAAATGCCAAGTTCTAAAGTAGTACTTTCATACAAGTTATCTAATTTAGTCCTTTTGGGGGGGGTGAGTTGGAATCTCACTTTGTCACCCATGCTGGAGTACAGTGGCATGCTCACAGCTACCGCAGCCTCGACCTGCTGGGCTCAGATGATCCTTCCACTTCAGCCTTCCAAGTAGCTTTAACTACAGGCACGCACCACCACACCTGGCTAATTTTTTTTTTTTTATTTATTGTAGAGACAGGGTCTTGCCATATTGCCCAGGCTAGTGTCAAACCCCTGAGCTCAGGCAAACCTCTCACTTCCACTTCCCAAAATGCTGGGATTACAGGCGTGAGCCACCACACCCGACTCTAATTTAGTACTTTTGTCAGTGTGATACAGAAGTGGTACGTATTTTATTATTACTCTTTTACAAACAAGAAAACAATCTCAGATTAAAGAATTTATCCAAGTTCACACAGCTGTGAAGAGAGCTCAGGGATTCAGACTCAAGCCTTTAAATGAGTTTATGCATTGTTAAACTTGGTGTTTTTCCAAACTACAGTGTTTGAGATTGAGAAGTTGCTATCCTTCTGTAGGGAAAACAGCAGTAAGAGCACTAGAGTTGATATTCAGACAAGGTTTCCATAGGTTGGTGCTCTTAAGCTATCCTTATCCTTATGTGGAAAAGGCCAGAATTATATATCAGGGCAAGCAAGCAAAAAAGAACGATCCTTTTTCCAACTAACCTTTTGAATTAAGTAGGTGGCAAGTACAACTGCTGTTCCCGTAGGTAATTTTTATCCATATCCTTTTGACCACAAAATGGTCCTCCATCAGAAAGCAAAAACAGGCAACATTAGACAAAAAGTAGCCAGATGCGCCTGTAGTCCCAGCACTTTGGGAGGCCAAGGTGGAAGGATTGCCTGAGCCCCGGAGGTTGAGGCTGCTGTGAGCTGTAATGATGCCACTGCACTCCAACTTGGGTGACAGCAAAACCATGTCTAAAAAAAAAAAAAAAAAAAAAAGGCATCTGCCCACCAGACACCCCATCTTACAAGACCACCGTTAAAGTCTTGTTTGAAGACCTTTTTAGAAGCGATTTTTGCCATTTCAGACTCTCATACCATCCGTGTTTGTAAAGACACTCTGAAATCTATTTTATTTTATTTTTTTTTGAGTTGGAGTCTCACTCTGTCGCCCAGACTGGAGTGCAGTGACTGCTCCCAGCCACCGCAGCCTCCACCTATTGGGTTCCAGCGATCCTTCCGCCTCAGCCTTCCAAGTAGCCGGAATTACAGGCATGCGCTACCACGCCTGGCTGATTTTTTGATTTATTGTAGAGATGAGGTCTTGCTGCCTAGGCGGGGCTCAGGCAATCCACTCACCTCAGCCTCCCAAAGGTGCGGGATTACAGGCTGAGCCACTGAGCCCAGCTGAAATCTATTTTCCTAACATTTTTTAGCCACGGTTTTTTGATTTATGAATATCATGTGCCAAAAGCTCTACACTCCAGTTTATCTAGATTTCAGATTATCAAATGACTGTGTTTTCATTTTGCCTTCCCATTCTGCCCTTTGGCCCTTTTTTTGTCAGTTAACTTTTTCCATTTACTTTATTTTTATTTTTATTTGAGTTGGAATCTCAGTCTGTTACTCAGGCTGGAGTGCAGTGGCACACTCAAGGCCGCTGCAGCCTCGACCTGCTGGGCTCAGGTAATCCTTCCGCCTCAGTTTCATTTACTTTAGAGGAAGAGCTGAGAAAGGTTCAGAGCTCATCACTGGGTCGGGCTACTTATCAGCACTTCTTGTTTAGTGGTTGTAAAATGTACATAAGCAAGGCTTAGTGATTAGCTGTAGCTTTATTAACAATTAATTGTAAAAGCCTAGTTAATGTAGCCAGTGATTTGTATTTATTATTGTATTTTACTTTTTTTAGAATTTAGAAAGTTGTCTTTATTAATAAGTTGAACTCATTTATCTTGGATGGTTTGAGTTTCATAATAGAAAAATTATTTCCTCACCAAAACATCCTTACTGTATGACACAGAGGGAAAAAGAGTCGTTCAGTAAAGCTGATGAATGAACATTTTTAGATTTTTTTTTCTGCACTGATTATTAAAGCAGTGCCTTGTCCTGACACTAGGTGGCGCAGCGCTTCTGCTCAAATCACTGTTAGGAAATTATTTTTTTCAACCTGGGTAGTTTATGGTTTTGCTGTTTTTAATAAATTGTAATAAGAGGCAGATTAAAAGCAGGAGATCATCTTTTTCATGTATGCTAATAAATAGTGAATTTTGTAGTAGACTTACTAATTTCAGTTTTTATATTATCAGAACTGAAAATAGTCTCAAAAGACAAGTTTACTTTATCAAAAGATAGTTAACCTCAATTAAAAAAGCAATGGGGTTGGCTTGTTTGAGCGGTACACTGTATCATTTGGTTTGTAGAGCGAGAATATTTGTGTGTGTATGGCATACTGATTACTACTTTCATTTGTAAATTCCTAGAGTAAGCCATTGATCTGAATTGTTTTTTATTATACTGTCTCCATAAATCCATAGTACTCTGTGAAACGTGAATAGTATCTTCAAGCTATGTTTGAAGATAAGTGAAGACAGAAATCACCTGCTATTGATACTAATTATTGTCCATATCAACAAATAAGATATTCAGAGTATGGTAGTTAGCAGAAGGAATTGAAGGCTTACGATTTTAAATATGTTTCCTTCAAAGAATTTATGATTCAATATCAGCAGTCCCCAAATTTTTAAATATGAAAATCCCTTTCAATGTCAGTATTTTATTTTATTTATTTTTGAGTTGAGGTTTCACTCTGTCACCCAGGCCCGAGTACCCTGGCATGATCACAATGATCACAGTTCACGGCAGCCTTGTCAGTGTCAGAATATTTTTATATATCACATGATACCTGTTGAACTTATTGAGTATTTGTTGATCAAGAAAATAAAGTCATAAGCTACAGTTCATTCAGTAATGTGCTTGTATTTTATAAATCATAACATCTATATGTTACTTACTCTGTCTCTGTGGAACTCTTAAAGTAATGCCACACATTTATTTAGGGAGATAGGAATTAGCAGCTAGTCTGTGGCCTTGTATTTTATTGAACCATATAGTTGGATTTTTAAAAATAGAATAAAAGGGTCCACTTTTTCAGGTTTGACGTTTTTATGAATTGGAAATTTTCTGTGGCTACAGACATTAATAATGTTTTGGAAAGGTATGAAGGATATTGTGTCAATGTAAGGCTCTTATTTAACCTCCCTCCCCTCTCCAAATTCTCCATAATATGAAGAGGGGTAGGTAAGTAGTTTTCTGTTGCCATCAGAATGTTCTGACCGTCCTAGGAATGGGTGGGGGAGTTAGAACTTACTACACAGGATAACACTGAAAATGAGGTTTGGTGAAACCTATTTGTGAGTACGTTTTAACCTCAAATATAAGGATTGGGGGTGGGGATAGAGAATGAGATGGGAGAAGTTGTTTCAGGGGAGAAGAAAGATTGAAAGGGAAGGGACAGCTGTAAAAAGAAAATAGAATATGCTCCATTCTTACAAAGTGTGGGTTGTATTTGAATATCCACAGTGTGTAGTCTGCAGAGTATTTGGGAGAAACTTTCAAAACAAATTTGTGGGAATAAAATAACTTATTTTAAGTTATCTTAATATAGCAGTAAAGGATCACTTTGAATTTTAAGTGAAAGTAAACTCTTTGAAGCGTTCTAGGAGTTAATTTTTGGCTTTTACTGGGAAACTTAGAAAAAACTATTAGTTGATGAAGATGATGATTTTGGTATAAAGCCAATGAAATTGTAATGGTTAACTTGTTGATTTTTTTTAAATTGCTGATTGAAACTCTTCCTTTCCTATTTAAAGATGATGAAAAAGATGAGCATGCTTCTAAAAAACGCAAAGTAGAACCAGGAGAACCAGCAAAGAAGAAAAAGTAGGAAACAACAAATGACGTGACTTTCTGGAGTGCTAAACTTGTTGAATTGTTTCTTTGGACAGATTAAGTTGATATTGTGGATTATGATGACACAGCATCTCTGTGAAAATACATGTTAATGAACTAAATATTGCCTCAAGAACTTTCCACTGTAGAATTCATTTTTTATTTAAAACGTATGTGTATTTAAAACTCAAATGGTGACTTGTGATTGTGAAATTGATAACACTTGGAAGCATTCTTGCTATCATAGAATTGGTGACATGCTTTGAGAGTTTTGTCACATGTTGACATGCCAATACTCTATGAACCTTTTATAAAGGAATATATTTTTAAAGTAAATATATTGCAATGTACTGTGAACTTGTAGGGTGCTTTTCAACAGTGTTTGTACAGTGTAAATAGATCATGGAAATAAAATTACTTATTCAGTCTTACTGTTACTGCATACCATTGACATTTGAATATTTGTCTGTGACAAGTACCCTATTTACCATGTGATGTTTTAAGTTGTAAGAATCATTACCATTTAAGGAGTGCCTCCTATGTTCCAGGTGCTTTGTGCATATGTTATCTCTGATTCTCAATGTAGTAAGGTAGATATTAGTATTCTTTTATAATAAAGAGTGCTTGAATAACTTGTCAGTGTTACAAGCTAGCAAATGATTAATTTGAAATTTAACCCAGGACACTTGAACTCCAAAATTATCAAAATTAAACCAACTATCAATTAATGTGTTCATCTTTCAAGAATTACGTCAGTCGCCGTCCCTTCCAGGTCCTCTTCTGCTATAGCCAGCGGAGAGCTTTTCCCTCCCCTGACTATATGAGTACACATAAGTCACATATATGCTTTATTGTCTAATTATTTGTTCATTCTCCTTTTAGATAGTAGGTTTACTGAAGATAAGGATCTTCCACAAAGGGTACCCAGATTTAGCAAATAAAAATACAGGACACTGAGTTAAATTTGGACTTCAGGTAACTTTTAGTATATTCGATATTCAGGATATATTTACAATAAAATTTTATCTGAAATTCAGATTTAACTGAGCATCTTTTATTTATCTGGCAACCCTACTTCTCCATGTTTTCTCTACCCAGCTTCTTTTTAAAATTGTTTTATTTTTGTAGATGTAGGGGTTACACGTGCAGATTTCTTCCAGCTTCTGTTTTAATGCTTTGCAAGTCAACAGTGCTTTGTCTTTTTTTTTATTAATCAATATTTTTTATTATGGTTTTGTGGGGTACAGTTAAGGGACAGGTGTACTATTACGTTTCATTCAGGCACCCTGTTGATAAGAGGTGTTTTCTCATCCCCAGACAGACATTTGCTACTGTTAATCCCATCCCCCCCCCCCCCCCCCCCGTGCTTTGTCTTGTTCAACAAAATGAACAAGAGGTAGTTGGGAAGGTGTCTTTTTTTTTTTTTGAGTTGGTGTGTCACTCCCTTGCCCAGGCTGGAATGCAGTGGCTTACTCATGCCACCCCAGCGTCAACCTGCTGGAGTCAAGTGATCCTTCTGCCTCAGCCTTCGAAGAAGCCGGAACTACAGGTGTACACTATCATGCCCAGCTAATTTTTGATTTATTGTAGAGATGAGGTCTCACCAAGTTACCTGGGCTGGTCAATCCACTCACCTCAGCCTCCCAAAGTGCTAGAATTACAGGCAGAGCCACCAAGCCCAACCAGAAGATACCGTCTTTGATTGAGTTCTATAGTTCAAAATGCCATGCAATTATTGGTAGCATTTTAAATGATAAAAAGGAGAGAATACATACTACTTTGATCTTTCCATGATTCTTATGCTTTTAAGAGACAAGGGTTAATTACAGAACACTACACAATGTGTTAAGAAAAATGCATCAGTCTTGAGTTTTTCCTCCATCCTGGAAGACAAAATTTGAAAAATTATAAAATTTGTTTACTTAGGAATATGCATCAAGTACCCTCAGATTTGTAAGAGTCATTAAAGCTGATTGTGCCAGTCACAGCACGTAAAATGAGGAAGATGTCTAACGGTGTGATGGCTTCCGGTATATCTTGAACTTGGAAAATCCAATTCTAGCTGACCGTCCTCTAGGTTTGCAAATATGGGGGGGGGGGTGCCAAAAAAAATGTATACCCATTTAAAGCGATGTTATCTATGTTTTGCTTTTCAAAGTTGAATTACAGTAGCAATGTGTAGTATGACATCCACTCAAAAGATGGCATTCATCGATTGAATGCTAGCTTCACCATGCGACAGGCAGGACAAAGAAAATGGCGGAAGCACAGTCGTCCTTTGAGGAGCACAAGACTGTTTTGAAGCATTTGAAATTCGAGAATGTTGTGGGAAATTCGAGAATGTACAACGACGATGGAGGCGTGAGTATGCAGCAGAACCAACAACATGCCTAACACTGCATGCATGGGTGATAAGTTGGAGACGTGTGGTCCTGTGTGTGATGTGCATGGGGGAAGATTCGGGAGGCCTCACACAGCAAGTCCTGCAGTAGTTTGCCATCATCAGAAGTGTCTGGATGCTAACGGTTACCACTCTGAACACCAGTAGTTGCACAAGGCAAACATGTATTCGTCTTTTGTTATTGGGATGTGTTGCGTTTTACAATTTTACTAGTTTTTTCCTTTCTTAAAGTGTGTATATATATTTTTGGCACCCTCAGTATATGAACTCCACAACTGAAGTAATTGTTAACACCACAAATTAGTAAAGCTTGACCCCAGTGTGACACCAAACCAACCAAGTCAAGTTTTAATTGTGAGGTTGTGATTCCTAAGCTCTGGCGAAATCTAAAGTTTGGATGCTTGTATTGGTGGAGTAGATATCTCAGAAGTTAATGAAATATTGCAAAGTTTTAAAATGTGCTTGAAGCCGGGTGTGGTGACTCACGCCCATAATTCCAACACTTTGGGAGGCAGAGGCGAGAGGATTGCCTGAGCTCAGGGGTTTGAGACCAGCCTGGGCAAGTTGGCGAGACTGCGGCTCTATGATAAATAAAAAAATCAGCCATGAGTGTGCCACTGATTCCGACTCAAAAGGATAAAATAAAATGAGCTTGAAGGCAAACCTCATACACTCAAAACCCAGCAAACCACTGAAAATCTTAATTGTCCCGTTCCTAGCTTAAATCAATTTACGACTGAGGACTAAAGCACACTAGTTCATCCCTGTTGGTGCGTTGAGCCTTTTTTCTATAAGTGAGGGAACACAAGTCACCTTTGATGGGGGGGGGTGCATGCTTTAATTTTTCAGACGGGGCGTGGCTACACCCCTGGGATTATTAAGCAACTGCTGGGAGATGCGTATGCCAGGACAGGCCATGGCTAGTTTTTATTTTATGAGGGAAAAGGACTTAGGAGGAGGCTAAATATTTTAGAGCATATTTATGTCTGACTCAGCCATTTGTATCTCATTGAGTTTCTTTTCTTTTTTTTGAGTTGGAGTCTCACTCTGTCACCCAGGTTGGAGGGTAGTGGCATGCTCCTGGCCACCACAGCCTCAACCTATTGGGCTCAGGCGATCTTTCTGCCTCAGCCTTCCAAGTAGCTGGAACTACAGGCATGTGCCAGCACGCCCAGCAGATTTTTTGATTTATTGTAAAGATGAGATCTCGCCAGGTTGCCCAGGCTGGTCTTGAACCCTGGGCTCAGGCAATCCTCTCACCTCAGCCTCCCAAAGTGCTGGGATTATAGGCGTGAGCCACCACACTCGACTGAGTTTCTTTTCAATATATGGAAACGGAGATAAAACTTTATGGATTGCTTGATCACGGAAATACTTCTGGTTGGAAAGTGGACTTGCATGTCACTCTACATCACCACAGTGATAGGAAAATCCATTTTCCAACCAGAAATTCTATTTCTCTCTTGGAAGATATCCTGGGAAAGTGTTTGCACGTGTCCATATGGGTACTGAGGTAAAGTTTGGGTCCACTGGCGAAAACCCAGTGGGGAAGAACCTTATAAAAATACATATAGATAAGAAAAATCCTCTACCCCAATTTTTTTTTTTTTTTTTTAGAGAATTAAGTCACTTGATATTTCTTGATTTGTTTCCTCATCGTTAATGAAGTTAAACTATATTAGGCATGAATGACATTTTGTAAAGGGTAATTTGGGAAAAGAACTAAGCATATATGGACCATTTTTTGAAATCCAAAGTGTAAATACATTTACAGAGTTTATGGAAAACATTCTAACTGGAATAAAAATATAGGCCAGACACGGTGGTTGACGCCTGTAATTCCAGCACTTTTAGAGGCCAAAATGAGAGGTTTGCTTGAGCCCAGGAGTTCAAGACTAGCCTGGGACACATGATGAGACCTCATCTCTTAAAAAAAAAAGGAAAAACATTACTGAGAAAATTGACACTGCCTTTTAGTCATGAAAATACCAAGATCTGAGCAAGGCATGGTGGCTTACACCTGTAATCCCAGCACTTTGGGAAGTGGAGGTGAGAGGATTGCCTGAGTCCAGGAGTTTGAGGCCAGCCTGGGCAACTTGGCAAGACCGCGTCTCTACAATAAAACAAAAAATTAGTCAGGTGTGGTAATATGTGCCTGTGGTTCCAGCTACTTGGAAGGCTGAGGTGAGGGATCGCCTGAGGCCAGCAGGTTGAGGCTCCGGTAGCCATGAGCCTGTTAATGCACTCCAGCCTGGGCAACAGAGTGACCTTCTGACTCAAAAAAAAAAAAAAAAAAAAGCCGGGCTCGGTGGCTCAGCCTGTAATCCTGCGCCTTTGGGAGGCTGAGGTGAGTGGATTGCCCGAGCCCGCGGGTTCAAGACCCTCCTGGGCAGCGAGACCTCATCTCTACAATAAATCACAGTATCAGCCGGGCGTGGTAGCGCATGCCTATAATTCTGGCTACTTGGAAGGCTGAGGCGGAAGGATTGCCGGAGCCCAGCAGGTCGAGGCTGCGGTGGCCGGGAGCGGCCACTGCACTCCAGTCTGGGCGACAGAGTGAGACTCCAACTCAAAAAAAAACAAAAAACATAAAAAACCTAAGATCTGGACTTAAGTGCAAACTTGCAGCTTTTTATTCTTAACCTTTACAAAACCTTTATAATTCAAAACAAAATTAGCCGAGCATGGTGGTTTTTGCCTGTAGTTCCAGCTACTCGAAAGGCTGAGGCAGAAGGATCACCTGAGCCTAGCAAGTTGAGGCTGCGGTGGCCGTGAGCATGCCACTGCACTCCAGCCTGGGCAACAGAGTGAGACTCCAAAAAAAAAAAAAAAAAAAATTATATGTATACACACACACACACACACACACACACACACACACACACGTATCTCACTGGTGGTATTTTGGATTTTAAAGTTTTGTATCCAAATGAATGACTTTCTATTTGACCCCCCTCCCAACTGATAACAGTACAAAAGTTCCAGACATTTCTACAAAAAGTGTTAAAATTCCTAGCAAATGTTTTGCAGTTTTCAATAAATTCAAGAGCTTTTGCTTTTCATCTCCTACCACTGAATCGTTTTCCTTTTATTTTTTTTTTTTGAGTTGGAGTCTCATTCTGTCGCCCAGGCTGGAGTGCAGTGGCATGCTCACAGCCACCACAGCCTCGACTTGCTGGGCTCAGGTCTTCTGCCTCAGCCTTCCAAGTAGCTGGAACCACAGGTGTGCACCACCACGCCCAGTTAGTTTTTGATTTATTGTAGAGACGAGGTATCGCCAAGTTGCCTGGGCAGGTCTCGAACCCCCAGGCTCAAGCAATCCATTCC